TGATGTTTGGATCCCGAGATCTAAGAATACAAAAGCTGATTATATTTCTAAAATGATTGATATAGAAGACTAGGGAACAAATAAAGAATTTTTTAAATTAGTAGATAATATGTGGGGTCCGCATACTGTGGACAGGTTTGCGAGTAATTTGAATAAAAAATTACCAAGATTTAATTCCAAATTCTGGAATCCAGGTGTTGAAGCAGTTGATGCGTTCACGCAAAATTGGAAAAATGAAGTAAATTGGATTGTTCCTCCAATTTCCGTTGTCTGTAGAGCAATCAAACATTTGATTTTATGTAAGGCTAGAGGCACTTTGATAGTTCCAAAGTGGCCTTCCTCGTCATATTGGACAATGATTTTTAAAAAAGGTTCGCATTTGCAACCCTATGTAACTGATGTTTTAGAATTTCATCCAAATCAGAACATTTTTTATTCATGGTATGAATAATAAGTCCTTGTTGGGATCTTCTGAATTCGTTTCTAGTGTTTTAGCTATTAGATTGAACGCTCAGTTCATGTAAGAATTTACGACAAGGCTGTTGAGCAAGGTCGTATGGTAAAGACAAGGCCAATCTAATGGCAAGGTCGTATGCTGATGACAAGGCCAAATTAAATAGGCAAGGTCTCACCTGACATGGCCAGTGTGAAAAATAAATCTGGCAAGGTCATTTTAATATAATGTAAGCTAAAAGTAGTATAGTAGATTATATTTCTATTTGATATGCACGTTTTTCAGATATTTTTTCATGTGGAGTCTGGAAATCCTTGCCTAAGCCAGTTGACCAAGATTTGTCATCTTTATCTAACTGCCTACCTGAGTTCTGTCTCCATTCGAAAGCCGAGAACACCAAAACAAAATACTCGTATGCATTTAACAATTTCTGTAAGTGGTGTAATACTATTCTTATGTTAAACCTTTACCAGCTTCAGATTTTTATGTTTCATTGTATTTAATACATATATCAAAGACATTTAACTCGTATGCTAAGGTTGAAGAAGCATATTATTCAATAAGCTGGGCTCACAAACTAGCTGGCTATTCAAATCCGTGTAATTCACAGTTGTGTATATCGGTTAAAGAAGGAGCTCATAGAAAGATTGGACATATTATTGTAAATAAAAAAGAACCTATTACGCCAGATATTTTAAAGAAAATTGTTAATAAATATGGTAAAGAATGTAACAATCTTATAGAAATTAGAATTTGTTGTATGTGTCTTATTAGTTACGCAGGGTTTTTAAGATTTTCTGAAATGGTAAATTTAAAAAGATCTGATTTAAAATTTGCTGATACACATGTCTCTTTGCTCATACAGAAAAGCAAAACTGATCGTTATAGAGAAGGCACACAAGTTTTAATTGCTAGAACAGATACACAAACATGCCCTGTTAGTATGTTGGAGAAATATTTGTTATTATCCAATATAGATGCATCATCTTCAGATTATATATTGAGATCCATTTATTTATGTAAAAAATCTAGATCTTATAGACTGAGAGGTCTTAAACCTTTGTCATATACTAGAGTTAGAGAAATTATATTATCAGCTCTGGAATCTATCAGTTTAGATAAGTCAAAAATTGGATTACATAGCTTGAGATCAGGTGGAGCTACTGCAGCTGCACCAGCTGGCATTCATGATAGATTATTTAAGAAGCATGGTAGATGGGCTTCCGATAAAGCAAAAGATGGCTATGTAAGAGAAAATGTTAAAGAAAAACTGATAGTGTCTTAAAGTTTGGGAATTTAATTTTTATAGTTATACTATATATGTGTATTATTCTTTGCTCAGATCTGTTTGGCTTTCTTTGTCTTTCGAAAGGCTGCTACACCTGTAAGCACACTTATCCTATTTATGTGTTATTTTATATATTAAATAATTTATATTCGTTTGAGCTGGCGAATTAGAATATAAAATATAAAATATGGTGATTGATTGATTGATTGGTGTTTAACGCCACTTTCAACACTAATGTGCTATTTCGTGGCGGTCAGTTTTTATTGGTGGAGAAAGCCGGAGTGCCCGGAGAGACCCACCGACCTTCGGTTGGAAAACTGACAATTCTAGTCAATTAAGATTGGAGTCGAGTGCACCTACCCCGTGCGGGATTCGAACTCACACCTCAGTGTTGACTGGCTAGTTATACATTAGTTCGACTACTTTGACCACTCGGCCGACGAGGCCCCTAAAATATGGTGAAAAAGGTATATGTGATGGATGAATAAAGTCAACACATAAACTTTTGGTTTCATATGTTTATAATATGTAGCAAATTCAATTCGTTCGCTATTATAACTTTCTTTCATTTGATATAAGCTAGTTGTTCCTCTGCTTTGTAGCATAATCAAGCACGTTCATGTAAAATATTTCCCTTAAGAATGTAGTTCTCATGTATGTTCTCAAGAGATGGGTTAAATCATACTATGTAGTTTTCACTAAATTCATAAAGTTTTTAACACTACCAAGAGTACTTGTATGGTTCGAAGAAGGAATAGATGAGAGAATGTTGTAAGAACGAACAATTGATTAGATAGTTACGTATTAAATACACGACTAGTATATGGCTTGTCACTTGTGAGTTGTAAACTTCATACAGCATCCAATAACACCTCGATCTCCTTATTTTCAGTAACAAATTATAATAAAAAAAAAACACGAACATTTAATGGTAATAGATAACTTTTGGTTTTTTTAAGGAACTATAAAGGAAAATGCCAATCGTTTCCATTTTAACGTATTCGTGCGACGAAAGAGTTGAGTTTGTTTCGGTGAAATATTCCTTGCAAATATGCAAATGGTCAACTCTCCTTTATTTTGAATTTAAGCAGCTTACCAATTTGAAGATGGTTTTGCATTATGGAATGTACTGTGTTTTTGAAAAAAAGGAGAGACTGATTATACGCAAAATAGACAGCAACACATACGATACATAAATCTAAAGGACATGAGAGGGTTGACATACCATTTGAAACTATAAAAAAGTGTTTATTCAATATGTCGCGCTTAAATCGCCATCAATATAAAAAATAATAAGAAGATATGGAATGATTTCCAATGAGATTAAAATCCAACGGGTTCAAATTATGTCGATGTAAGCAATGATAAGTCACCACATGGCCTTCAACAATGAGAAAAACGAATACCGTATCATCCGCTATAAAAGGCCCCGACATTAAAAATGTGATTTAATGTAAACGAGAAAACAATGCATTTTTTAAAGTTCGTTTTCTTTTTGTACTTGGTATCCAATATAGAAGTAACTAAAGATCAACAACCAAAAACATGATAATTACCGAATTCAAAGGAAGAAAAAGGGTCCTCCAAACAGAAAAATCCTGTTAGTTTGAATGGAAACAAATCCTCATAAAAACGGCATAATTAAATAAGACTTTTTTAAAACAGGTATGATTTTCTCATTCCAAAAAGTATGAAATCGTCAGAGAGTCAAAGTTTTTTTTTAACTTATGAAGCCTGGTGTAGTAAATATTCACATGTCTACTGCCGGTAACCCAGATAATGTAGTGTTTAAAATTAGCTTTCATTAGATTTATCCCTGAATGTCATGTTTAATCTCTGTGTATTCATAGTTTCATAACTGCAGAAACTGCAGATTTAGTATGCGCTTTAAAAGCAGAATTAATCCAATATCATAATTGTAATTGCTTGTATTGTAAAATAAAATTACTCATACATGTAATATGATATAACCCTGTTTCAATATGTAAATACATCAACACTTAAATTGTGTCCAGCCAGGATTGATATACTAACAAAGACAGATTTAATTTTTTTTTATTATTACAGGAATTTCTCATTTAAGTTTTGACATGCATGCATATGTGTAGTTGTTTCATAGCTAATCCAATTTTTAAGTATGTCATGCTAATTCTTGCATATGATAAGCGAAACATCTGTTTGAAAAAAAAAGACTTTTATTTCATATTTAAAGCAGCATCAACATGCCAGTTCACCCAATTGCAAGATGAAGTCAACCCAGATGATACTCGCAGTCTTTGTGATCACCGCTCTGTGCGGAATAGGTAAGAGAGCTTTAGTTTTCACATTTTCTGTATTTATTATTCAAGTAGTTTTTCATGTTTGTTCATATATCTATTTTTTGGCGTTCTAATAGGAATGGTTTTAAAAATTCTGACCTTCGATAAGGGCCTATGATTCCGATGAACGAATCTGAAAAAATGGTAAAGGAAAAAAAATCGTTCACTGTTTAAATTTCATAATTTTATTTCCTATTTCGCAGAAGTTTCATAATTTGCATTTCAGTAAGTGTTGTATTTTCAAATATGTTCGATTCGATGATCACTGAAGAAGATATTTATTGTCGAAATCCGTATCTAGTGTAGAAAAATTAACGTTATTGCAGACAAGAAAAATGATTAATGATTAATGTATTGTAAGCTGGTTCTCGGCTGACTACTACACTTTGTTCATAACGCAGCCTTAATACAAGCGGATTCCATGTTAATAGTAATGGTGACAACACATTCTTAATACAGTGTCTTAGAGTTCGTAAGTCTATAGTCTACATATTTATTTTCTTTACTATCTAGAGATATAAAGTAAGGTCTCATTATTGCCAGAAAACAGTCCAAAAAAAATGACCATGCAATAAAATGAGTTGGAAGGCATAAGAAATTAAAATCGTCTATCCCTCTTTCTTTACACATATTTCTTTGAGCTTGTTCAAGAGAAGCAAATGTTGTCTCCGTGGTACGTAGCGATACGAACATTTGCACATTTTACAAGACTTAGTGTATTTATTACACACCTGGTGTCTGTAAAAAAGAAGTGTATTGTTTTTGTATAAAAATGCAATTTCATTTTCATTTACTTTTTTATTTACAAATGTCTTAAATGTTTGCTTGTAGTTAAATCTGGCGGCGGTGATTATGATTACAGAGGATATTGCTCTAATAAGGGTTGTCGATCAGGATATTTTTTTTATGGCAACACTGGATATTGTAATTATGGCACTAGGTCTTACAAGTATAATTGCAACTCTTATGCTGGATGCTGTCTTCCGCGTGAGTATACACATCTTTAGATATCACCTGTTTACCAACAGCAATGACAATAATAGATACTACCGCAGTGCTTGTATCCAAGACCTCATTCAAACTGAAATAGAAAACTTAAAGAACAGATACAAGACACACCATAAATAAAAACTTGTTCGACTACATGAATGATAAACTTCATTTCAATCATTTTGAAGCGATAAAATCTCTGAATCATGAACATAGAAAATGTATTTGCTTTAGTCAATACATTACCTCGAGAAATTGAAATTATCATATTTGACTTGTCAACTATGCCAAGATATATTTAATATGTTACAGTTGATGTCTTATGATCGTACCTGTGTTCAATGCTTGATGTATTCACCTGATGTGTTTTTTAAAAAAGATTTCTGAGTTGTATTTACTTTGCTGTATTTGTCAAAACCTTTCGGAATTTTGGAACGTCACTGCTATTCAACTATTTAGACGTGTTAGAAAAGTCAATACGATGGTAACTACCAATACTAATGCAGCCTATAGTGGCGACCATCTGAAAAGGCGAAAATAATCATACATTAAAGTTACCTGTTTGGGAGTGTTTGATTCAGCCAAGAATATTTTTGACAAAATGAAATAATAAAAATTTATTCCGCAATACACGGGCGAAGATCGAGAAAAACAACACGATCATTATTCATATATATATTAATATCATTTTCTTAAAATTGATTTTTTCATAGTAGTGATGGATAAAGTTTCAGATCGATGTCCCCCCTTTTCTTACTATTTTGTTGAACGACTTCAAGAAAAATCTGCAAACTGATAAAAAATAAATGAACAATAAAACATTCCATCAAATCACATCCGAATCAATCTTTTTATTCAAAATGTTCGTTTATTTGAAACTTGTGCATTTCATGTCGGGGCCTTTTAAAGCTTTGTATATGGTTTTTGCTCCTTCTTTGAAATCCCATTCCTAACACCCCTATAATCTTATTTGGCCTTCCAATCATTTGATTCAAATTTCAATGATGAGTCTTTTGTGGACGAAACGCTCGTCTGGTGTACAACATTATAGACTGCTATCTATCGTGGTTTTGTTTAACATATATAATTAAACAAATGAAAATACAAATGCAAATGAAAACGTGTGTGCATAAATATAAGAAAAGATGTGGTATGATTGCCAATAAGACAACTCGTTATTAGAGACCAAATGATGAAAAAGTTGATGATATAGGTTACCGTTTTATTCATCCACAATATATATCTTGTAACTCATTTGTTTATGTATTGAAGGTATAAATAATGATTTTGATTTTATTTGCGGAGTTTAAACAGTAATCTTTTTCAACTTTTCTTTTATCTTTTTTTTTTGTCTCATAGGTAACCCATACGGCACAGTAAAATATTACTGCACCAACAAATACGGATGTCCTGACGATTACTATTTTTATAACAACAAAGGCTACTATTATTATAATAACAAGGACTACTACAATTGTCTTTCTTACAATGGATGTTGTCTTCGTAGTGGTAAGTAGAAATAGAAAATAAGGAGATGTAGCTAGACATCTATCTACCATGGTCTAAATAATGTCGATATAAGCAATAATAATAAAACGGCATTCAATAATGAAAAAATCCATAGCACACAGTCTTCTAGAAAATGCACCAACATGACAAAATGTAAAACAATATAAACGAAAAAATTATTGGTGTGATTTATGACAAAATACAAATGAAAATCAGATATATAATAGACAGCTACAAACGATACCTATCAAATTACAGGCGCCTGCCTTGGAACAGACACATAGAGAATGTGGCGGAGTTAAACATGTTTATGAGCGCTCAACCCTCCCACTGCTTAAACAAGGGTCGATTTAGATAAAAAAAAAATGTCAAGCTTTCCATTCTTGCCAACATTAAATATTTGGCTTGTTTCAGCACCTCTTTTAATATTTCTCGATCATGATTACATAGAAACATCTCAAAACAATTAAAACAGAAAAAAAATCGACAGCAAAAATTAAAAACAAAACACATAATGAAATTAAATTTAATCATATACCTTTAATAGCATCTTACTTGTTGGACACTTGTTTTATTAAAGCTTGAATTTGAACCATTCATTTTAACAGCCTAACCAAATCGATATAAACCCAGACAACAACTGAAAAATGTTGATTTCAATTCAGTTAACGTAACTGCAAAGAATTTCCAAAATGTGCACTGATTCGTAATAAGACGTTGAAATCAAAGTGTAGATGTATAGGCATTTTTCTATATGAGTTGTATTAAATACAACAGTCAAACTTTGTAAAAGAGAGGGGACGACACAAAAAGGATAATCAAATTATGGAAGACAAACAAAAAAGCCATAGCATTTTCATTGACTTGCATTTTTTTTATATATATTTCAGAAAAAATGACACATGATTTTTTATTCATTTTTCAGGTTACTAAAGGTCAATCCTATATTGAAATAGTTCGTCAAAGAGAAGTCCACTCGATATTCAATTATGATTTCAAATAAAATTATTAAGCATTATTGATTGTGTACTTTTGTTTTTCAGTTTTAAGATATAAAACTCCTGCAATGATAACATTTCAAAATATACTTTATTTTGTGTTCCTAATCAATTGAATAAAGAAAGATATTTAAACGAACAACAGTTGGCATGTTCTTAACCGCCACTATATGTTTACAAAAAATAAAGTGTAAACCTGTCAGGCAAAATTAACCATAGAAATTACATGAGAACTGAACACCGGTTTCAATACAATATGCCAAATTTTCATGATTTTTTTAATCACAATCTTTCCCTTTTAATCTCGATCAGTGTTTTTTGTTGTTGTTCAAATATAGGTGTATTTAAACACTTTTCGCTGTCTAAACTTTCTACCACGATTTTCTAAATTAAGGTTATTAATAAAATGAACAAATTATCGATATCATATTTTAGGAGTTTTGTGGATTGATATTTCAACGAAATGTCGCTATTCAAATGAGTACTGATTCGGCTCCCTTTCTTATCGATTTGTTTTTTTTTTACTCATTTGATTATTTTTATATCTAATTTGAAATTTAACTAAGATCATCGTACAACATGTAATTACAATCTGTGAAGGATACGACGACTCTTGATCTGTGACCAAAATTTAATAGAAACCGAAACCCTCTGAAGCAACATATGTTATTCACTAGGTTGCCAGAAGGCCTCGCAGAATACATTGTTCACTTATATTGATCATATCACCCGTACACTTACAGGAGACTCTGCAATCTTAACTAAAAAGTAAAATAACAAAAATATCGAGCTCCAAGGAAAATTCAAAACGGGAAGTCCTTTATCAAATGGCAAAATCAAAAGCTCAAACACATGTAACGAATGGAAAACAACTGTCATATTCCTGACTTGGTACAGGCATTTCCTTATGAAGAAAATTGTGGATTTAACCTGGTTTTATAGGTAGCTAAACCTGTCACTTGTATGACAGTCGTAAAAATTCCCTTATATTGACAACAATGTGTAAACATAACAAACAGACATTATGGGAAAAAATGTCAAAAATAGGGGTACAGTAGTCAACATTGTCAACATAAAACTCCAATACATTTGTGGTTTATGATTATAAAGAACGACTTATATATAAGTTGCAATAAGGCAGACAATTGGCAACTAGTCAAAGCAAGGCAATCATAATTATAAAAAAAACGATCAAAAAAACACAATTCCTTAAATTATCAGAACATATGTTTGACTCATTTTGTGTGGGTTCCCTAAATAGTTGCACCTCATCCGAATTGAATTGTTTTGAACCCATTGAACCTTGAAATATCCAAAACAACAAAAGCTTGCAAACCATCACTGTCAGTGAACAGCTTTAAGTTGTCAGTGGAATTCGAAATGTTGATATTTTCTGTAAATTTACTGTTGATATTATTCAAAACGCTAAGGTTTTTATACCCCCAGGTATACATTGTCTAAGCCCTATTTGGCACAATTTTGTGGAATTTCCGTTTTTTATTGTTTTTCAACTTCGTACTTGATTTAACAACCCAACTGTTTTGGTTTAAGCGTCAATGATAAGTCTTTTGTGGACTAAACAAGCGTCTGGCGTACAAATTGTTCAACAGGTTTATGATTTTCAACCTTGTACATTTTAGAAAATTAGAATTTGAGTTATTGCCCCTGAGATGTCCGTTTTTAGCAAATTACGCAGGGTCTAGTTATTCTCTTGACTATTTTTATGGATAGAGGGAAACTTTAAATTGTAAAACTAACCAACAAAGAAAGCTCTAGAAATCAGTCAACATGCCCGACATTGATTGTAGAAGTTGCCCTTGAATTACGATTTTTACCTTTTTTAGATGATTCCTTCGGAAACTTAATAGTAGAAAGAGTGAAATTGTAAAAAAAAAAATGGTCAGAACATTATGATCTACAAATAAATTAAATTGCCGAAATAGTTATGTGATACCTTATAAGAGTTATTGCCATTGAAAACAAAATAAGGAGATTTGGTATGAGACAACTAACGAACGAATAAGTTTACCCTTTTTGTGTATTTGGCTATAATCTTAAAAACTATAATAAAAAGAGAAATGATAAAAAGAGAAATACTTTGGTCAGTTAAACTATCTGCCAGATAAGATTTACGTAGTCAATACAACCAGAATCATTAGTCTACTCCTCATAAGAGTTACTGCTCTTCAATGACGATGTTTTCTCCCATTTTGTGTGTGGTTTTTTTTATACAGAAACTATAGTAGATAGAAATAGAAGAGATTTAAATAGTAAAATAATCAACAGAGTTATTTCTACCAATAAATGAAAGTTACTGAAATCGTCAGTTGACACATTATAAGTGTCATTGTCATTAATTGATATTTTGGTTGTTTTACCCTATGTCTTGTAAGCTACAAAAAAAAAGACCTAAACTCAAAAAGAAAAAAAACAAAAACTAGAAACCCAAGATCTATACTTACGTTAGAGTGAATGAAATTGGCAATTATAGTAAAACTTATCGGCAATACACATAGATTCCGTTGGGCCTTCGCGGCCGAGTGGTCTAAGTGGTCGTACTACTGTATCACTAGCCTGTCAACACTGAGGTTTTGAGTTCGGATCCCGTACGCGGCAGGTGCACTCAACTCCAACCTTAATTGACTAGGATTGTTATTTTTGCTACCGAAGGTCGGGGGTTCTCTTTGGGCACTCCGGATTCCTCCATCAACAAAAATTGACCGCCACGAAATAGCACAACAGTGCTGAAAGTGGCGTTAAACACCAATTAATCAAAGACTCCTTTCAACACAAACATTCTGTTGCAATCATTAATTTATATGTAAACATACCCTGCCACGTCCGGTCTGTGTTTTTGTTAGATGTGTTTCTGCTTTGTATTGATCTGATGAGTTACGCCCTTTTTAATTGATTTTTATAGTTTGTTCTTATGTTGTACGGTAACACCACTGTCCCAGATTATGGGAAGGGTTTGGGACCAACAAACTAGTTTAACCCCGTTACAATCTGTATGTGTCTGTCCCAAATCATGAGCCGGTAATTCAGTGGTTGTCGTTTGTTGCTGTAAATCATATTTATTTTTCGTTCATTGTTTTGTACATAAATCAGGCCGTTAGTTTTCTTGTTTGAATTGTTTTATATTTTGTCATTTGGGGCCTTTTATAGCTGACTATGAGGTATGGTTTTCGCTAATGGTTGAAGGACGTTTGGTAACCTATAATTGTTAAGTTCTTTTTCATTTGGTATCTGGTGGAGAGTTGTCTCATTGGCAATCATACCACATCTTCTAATGTCCATTTGCTAGTTATTATATTTAATTTGTTAATTTTTGTGTGCTAATTACCGATATTTCTAGCAAAGCCCTTTCAAACTGCATGATTTTTGCAGTATGTTCTTATGTTGTTTTATTACTATCACTGTCCTAAATAAGTAGGGGTGTGGTGAGCGCACACACGCATGTTAAACTGTGTCACAAGTTCCACAAACAAGTGGTTGTCGTTGGTCGGTGGTTGCTGTGTGCCATATTTATTTTTCTTTCATTTTTTGTATAAATAAGACCAATGATCTTCATTTTTAATCTTTCTATATTTTGTCCTATCATAACTAATATACGGTTTGATTTTTTTCCTCGTTGTTGAAAGCCGTACGGCGACCTGTACTTGTTAACATTTTTATCAATACAAGTCAGTTTTTCTCGGTCATATATTTAAAACAAGTTTATGCCGTTTTTCCTGTCGAAATTTATTCGACACAACGTAAATATTAACTTGGAAAATCAGACCAAGCGCATAAGTAGTTAGATTATCTACACTCGTATACCCAATTACAATAGACCAAACAAACACATTGTTCGACTCCAAACGGAGCGTAATCGATTCGATATGATAAACGTATCCTGCAATTCGGGTATTGCCAGATCTAATACAAGATCTAAAAGAAAAACTCTTTTTTGAGATGAGACACATATCAATGTCAAAAGGACAATGACGTTAAAAATGTCGCTCAAACTTATGCACTTGTATATCATTTAAAATGTGTTTTTATAAGCATATTATAGTGAACACTGTCCCAAATAAGAAGGGATGTGCCTCGTTTTTAGACATATACCTCGAATCTGACTACAGCGGTCATCTCAGTACCAAAATCTATGATAAACGAGATGATTTCAATTGTGAAATTATAAATTTTCCTCACCTAAGCAGCAATATACAAACTTCAACCGCGTATGGAGTAAACATTTCTCAAATCATACGTTATTCAAAAGCTTGCAGTTGCTACTCAGACTTTGTAGAACGTCATCGGTGTCTTAGCAAACGATTGATGAGCCAAAGTTTTGTCAAAATGCGTCGCGTCCTTTTTCTCAAAAAAACGTATCCTGCAATTCGGGTTTCGACAGATCTAATACAAGATCTTAAAGAAAAGGTCTTTTTTGAGATGAAACACATATCAATGTCAAAAGGATATTGACTCTAATATTTTTCATCAGATGTGGACTTTACAAGAGTCCCTAAAGAGTTCTACATGGAGAGAACTTCAAGCTTTTTTGTTGGCTTTGATGTCGTTTAAGAACCATTTAAGAAATAAATGTGTTAAATGGCATACAGATAATAATAACTGTGTTTCCATTGTTCAGAAAGGAAGTGCAAAAGTACATTTACAAGAGATAGCTATTAATATTTTTAAGTTGTGTTCTGAATTGAATATTACTTTAGATGATGTTTGGATCCCGAGATCTAAGAATACAAAAGCTGATTATATTTCTAAAATGATTGATATAGAAGACTAGGGAACAAATAAAGAATTTTTTAAATTAGTAGATAATATGTGGGGTCCGCATACTGTGGACAGGTTTGCGAGTAATTTGAATAAAAAATTACCAAGATTTAATTCCAAATTCTGGAATCCAGGTGTTGAAGCAGTTGATGCGTTCACGCAAAATTGGAAAAATGAAGTAAATTGGATTGTTCCTCCAATTTCCGTTGTCTGTAGAGCAATCAAACATTTGATTTTATGTAAGGCT